CCGCAGCAACCCCAGCCTCTGCGCCAGCTCTGGCAGGATCAGGGGCCGCCGCCGCCGCATTGACCCCAGCGACAGCGCCAGTTGTCGCCGGATCCGCCACGGCCGCCACCGCCGCAACCCCAGCCTCTGCGCCAGCTCTGGCTGGATCCGGGGCCGCCGCCGCCGCCGCAGCAACCCCGGCCACAGCGCCAGCTTTGGCCGGATCCGCCACGGCCGCCACAGCCGCTGCCCCAGCCTCTGCGCCAGCTCTGACTGGATCCGCCACCGCCGCCGCCGCAGCAACCCCGGCCACAGCGCCATCTGTGGCCGGATCCGTCACGGCCGCCACAGCCGCTGCCCCAGCCGCTGCGCCAGCTCTGGCCGGATCCGGGACGGCCGCCGCCGCAGCAACCCCGGCCACAGCGCCAGTCGTCTCCGGATCCACCACGGCAGCCACCGCGGCAACCCCAGCCGTTTCGCCATATTTGGCTGGATCCGCCTCCGCGGCAACCCCAGCCCCTGTGCCAGCTGTGGCTGGTTCCGCCACCACCGCCACCGCGGCAACCCCGGCCACAGCTGGCGCTGTGGCCGGATCCACCTCCGCCACAGCTGCAGCAACCCCAGCCTCTGCGCCAGCTGTGGCTGGCTCCGCCACCGCGGCAACTCCAGCCACTGCGCCAGCTGTTGCTGGATCCGCCACGGCCGCCACTGCGGCAACCCCCGCCGCTGCGGCCGCGACTCCTGCGCCCACTGCAGCTGCTGGAGGAGCACCACGCCTCTCCTTTCTTGGAGGCCGAGAGGTTGGCACTAGTGACGAGTGCGGTTGTTTCCACCGGTGGAAATTGTTAATGATCTCAATGGTAGTGGTTACATTCGTCGTGTTTTTTGTTCAAAGAAACCCGAACTTGACCACAAACAAGTTGGTAGCACCAACATCCAGGATCATCCCCCACTGGTGGAGGCAACCCCCAGTGTTCGTGTTGGTGCCAATCTGCAGGCCCCCATCCTTCATTGCGTCGGGGCAGGTCAACTATACATATTCACGCCGTTCCTGCTCCTCTCCTTTCCCAGAGAGGAGGCGAACAGTCAGTGGAGGAGGGGGCAGGGAGCAGGACGAAGGCGGACCTGTGTGAATATTGGATTTCAACTGACTGTCCCCACGGACCGAAGGGTATTCTGAGGAGTCCCAGGCTCGAGGAGTCCGAGGCGAGAACTTTTACACCGGGTGCGCTGGAGGGGGTGCCACGGCAGGGGTGGCCTCATAAACATCAGGAGGGGAAAAAAACACAGACATAATTTCATCGTCGATTCCCCAGAAAAGATGGGAAAATATGGGAAGTTGGGGGAAGACAGAAACTTCAAACATATAGCAAAAATAGGGGAACTATTTTCATTTGTGTGTATTTATTTGTGTGTCCCAGGGCCCCTTCATTACGAACAGGCTGGGGGCTTGGATTGGTCTGATCGGTGGAAAGGGGGGGGTGCGACATCTGTTGATGCAGGTGGTTTCGTTGCCGCCGTGCGGGGAGGCGCTGGGAAGATCAACCACGTGAGCTGAACTGAGACCCCCTTCACCACACCCCCTTTCGTCCCAACTCAGTGTTTCCCAACCATCCTGTGGAGTTGGGCCCTCGTTTTGAAAAGAGCGCCCCGCGTTCCTCTCCTCCCTCCCTCCTCCGTCCTCCCGCCTTTGTCTCCGCTCTCTGCATGTCCTCATCGTCATCATCATCATTCCGCACACTATGCCTCTGTCATCTGTATGTACTCATCGTCGTCAGCATCATCATCACCATCATAACCATCATCTTCATCAGTTTCTCCCTCATTGCCCTCCCCCTACATCATCACTAGCACCGTCATCACAACCACCATGATCATCAACAACAACCTCAACATCATCACAGTCACCATCATCGCCATCATCATCAGCATCAGCATCATCATCATCATCATCATCATCATCATCATCATCGTCATCAGCACCACCATAATATTCATCATCATCACCACCATCCTCATCGCCATCCTCATCCTCGCCATCGTCATCATCGTCAGCATCATCATCATGCACATAGACATCCCCATTTTTACCTAACAGCGAAGACTGATAGGTTTCTAGTAGTCTCAAAAGAGAGCATCATGACGCCCCAGGGGGGTCTGGGCAGATGCCGGACGGGTGCCGGGGAGAATCCGCGGAAGTCGTTTCAAGCAAACAGTTACTTACTTCGTGGTCTTCGAGGTCCCAGAACTCCATTCCCGGGCCACATTCTGAATGCCCGGAGCCAACTGTAGGCCACTTCGTGCTTTTCGAGTTCCCAGAACTCCATTCGCGGGCGACATTTTGAATGCTCGGAGCCAACTGTAGGCCACTTCGTGCTCTTCGGGTTCCCAGAACTCCATTCCTGGGCATGATTTTGAATGCCCGGAGCTAACTGTAGGCCACTTCGTGCTCTTCGAGTTCCCAGAACTCCATTCCTGGGCATGATTTTGAATGCCCGGAGCCAACTGTAGGCCACTTCGTGTTCTTCGAGTTCCCAGAACTCCATTCCCGGGCCACATTTTGAATGCTGAGGCAGGCTGATGCTGAGGCTGAGGCAGGCTGAGGCTGAGGCAGGCTGAGGCTGAGGCCGAGGCTGAAGGCAGACTGAGGCTGAGGCTGAAGCAGGCTGAGGCTGAGGCTGAGGCAGGCTGAGGCTGAGGCTGAGGCAGGCTGATGCTGAGGCAGGCTGAGGCTGAGGCTGAGGCTGATGCAGGCTGAGGCTGAGGCAGGCTGAGGCTGAGGCCGAGGCTGAAGGCAGACTGAGGCTGAGGCTGAAGCAGGCTGAGGCTGAGGCTGAGGCAGGCTGAGGCTGAGGCTGAGGCTGAGGCTGAGGCTGAGGCAGGCTGAGGCTGAGGCTGTGACTGCGACTGCCGTTTGCCATTGCGACTGTCATCGCGAATGCGACTACGACTGCGAGAACAGCAGAATTCTCCAACTGGATTATCATCTGAATCTTAAGGGGAATGCTTCCAGATATGCTCCTACACATCGCTGCTAGGTTGCTTTGCCGGGATAATTGTCATAATCGTCGTCATATTCACTAACCTCATAAGCATCATCACCACCATCACCAGCATCATACTCATCATCATCATCACCATCATCATCATCATCATCATTATCATCATCATCATCATCATCATCATCATCATCATCATGATCATCATCATCATCACCATCATCATCCGCATCATCGTCATCATCAGCATCATCATCAGTATCATCAGTACCATCGCCGTCATCATCGCTACCATCGTCATCGGCTTCAGCAGCTGCACACCCCGAACACGTTTCGTAGCCTCATCGGGAGCTCCACCGACGGCCCCACTGGTTGCGTTCGCATGCTGCCACCCCTTTCACGTTGGCACACATCTCACAGTTTTCGTGGCCCGTAGGAAGCCCCAGCTAAGGCCGCAGTGGCTGCGTTCGCGTGACGCCACACCCCTCACTTCTGCACACCCCCTCACATGATTCGTTACCCCATCGACAGCTCCACTTGAAGCCTCAGTGGTTGCGTCCGCATGGCGCCACCCCCCTCCCTGTGGCCCACCCCTTACACGCTTCGTGGCCTCACAGGGAGCTCCACCTAAGGCCCCAGTGGCTGCGTTCGAATGCCGCCACCCCCCTCAGTTTGGCACGCCCCTGACACGGTTCCTGGCCTCACAGGGAGCTCAATTCGAGGCCTCAGTGGCTGCGTTGTATGCCGCCACCCCCCCACTTCGGCGCACCCCTCAGGCGTTTCGTGGCCCCGTAGGGGGCCCCACCGAAGGCCCAAAGGCTTTCTTCGCATGCCGCCCCCCCCTCACTTTGGCACACCCCTCGCAGCGTGGGAGCCCCCCTGGGGGGCTCCGCCTGCGGCCTCAGTGGCTGCGCTCGCATGCCGCCACACCCCTCACTTCGGCACACCCCCATCACATGATTCGTGGCCCCATCGGGAGCTCCACCGGGGGCCTCAGTGGTTGCGTTAGCATGCCGCCCCCCCCCCCTCACTTGGCACAACCCTCACACGTTTCGTGGCCTTATGGGGAGCTCCACCTGAGGCCCCAGTGGCTGCGTTCGCATGTCGCCCCCCCCCCCCCCCCTCAGTATGGCAGGCCTCTCACACGTTCCGTGGCCCCATAGGGAGCTCAACCTGAGACCTCAGTGGCTGTGGCTGCATTCGCATGCCGCCACCTCCCTCAACCTGGCACACCCCCTCACATGATTCGTGGCCCCATAGGGAGCTTTACCTGAGGCCTCAGTGGCTGCGTTCGAATTCCGCCAACCCCTCCCTTTGGCACACCCCTCACACGATTCGTGCCCACATAGGGAGCTCCACCGAAGGCGCCAGTGGCTGCGTTCGCATGTCGCCACCCCCCTCACTTTGGTACGCCCCTTGTGCGCTTCGTGCCCGCATAGGGAGCTCCAGTGAAGGCCCCAGTGGCTGCGTTCGCATGCTGCCACACCTCACTTCGGCTCACCCCTCTCCTCTCTTGCTGATGATCCCTCTCTTCTCCTCGTCCCGTTCCCCATGCTCCTCCTTTCTTTTTGTTTGTGTTGTTGTTGTTGCTGGTGTTGTTGTTGATGTTGCTGCTGTTATTGTTGGTATTGGTGTTGTTGTTGAACTTTCATTTCTGATGAATAATTATTGTTGATCCCCCCCGTCCGGTGCACATTGTTTTTTCTCGATTGAAGTGCCCTTCCTGGGGCTCGCACCCTGTTTTTAAACAGAGAATGTATTGAGGGTCAAACTGTGTCGTCGGCCCCAGGGTTACAACAACAACGGCTCCTGTCTGAGACTTCCTCACAATTTAGCCAGGACCCCCCCTCCCGCCCGCGACTTCCTTGCATTTTATTCAGGAATCGCGCTCTCGCTTGGGGCTTCCTTACAATTTATTCAGGAATCGCTCTCCCCGCGCTCTGGAGTCGCGCTCCCGCTGGAGACTTGCTAGCAATTTGCTGAAGAATAGCGTCCTTGTGTTGGGAATTCTTGCAGTTTATTTAAGCGCCGCGCTCCCGACACCCAGGCACCCAGGAGTGGCGCTTACGTTTAGGACTCCCTCACAGATTACCTAAGAATCGGGATCTCGCTGCCCTTCGTGGCCCCGTGGCAGCCCTTCGTGGCTCCCTCGCTTTGATTCGTGGCCCCGTTGCAGCCCTTCGTGGCCCCCTCGCTGCCCTTCGCGGCCCCGCTGCAGCCCCTCGTGGCCTCCTCGCTGCTCTTCGTGGCCCCGTTGCAGCCCTTCGTGGCCCCCTCGCTTTGTTTCGTGGCCCCGTTGTAGCCCTTCGTGGCCCCCTCGCTGCCCTTCGTGGCCCCGTCGCAGCTCTTCGTGGCCCCGTTGCAGCCCTTCGCTGCCCCCTAGCTGTCCTTCGTGGCCCCCTCGCTGCTTTTCGTTGCCCCATATATGTATGCCCTTCGTGGCCCCCGCTCGTTCGCGCCCGTGGTGGCCCCATATGCATGCCATTCGTGGCCCCGCTGTCGCCCTTCGTGGCCCCGTTGCTGCCCTCAGTGGCCCCGTCCTTGCCCTCCGCGGCCCAGTATACGTATACCCTTCGTGGCCCTCGTTCGTTCGCGCCCGTTGTGGTCCCATATGTATGCCCTTCGTGGCCCCGCTGTCGCCATTTGTGGCCCCCTCACTATCCCACGTGGCCCAGTTGCTACCTTCAGTGGCCCCGTCGTTGCCTTCTGTGGCCCCGCATGATCTGCCCTTCGTGGCCCCCGATCGTTCGCGCCCGTCGTGGCCCCAT